GGTCATGATCCCAGCATCCTGGGATCCCCACATCCGGCTCTCTGCTCAGCGGGGAGCCTGCTTCCCTTCCTTTCTCTCTACTTGCCTCTGCCTACTTGTGATCTCTGTCTGTCAAATAAATAAATAAAATCTTTAAAAGAAAAATTTAAGATTTTATTTACTTGACAGAGAGAGAGAAAAAAAAAGAACAAGTGAGGATAAGGAGAGAAGGATCAAGCCCCATGTCCAGCTTCCTGCTCAGGAAGGAGTCGGCTTGGCCCTCTCTCTGCCCCTCTCCTGCCTTATGCACATACACACTCTCTTTCAAATAAATAAAATCTTAAAAAAAAAAAAAAAAGGCAAAAAAGACAACTCACAGTATGGGGGAAAATTTTTGCAAATTGTTCATCTGATAAGGGACTCTGAGATATACAAACACTACAACTTCATGATAAAAAGACAACCCAATTTAAAAATCAGCAAAATATCTAAATAGATCTCTCTCTAAATAAGATATACAAAGGCCCATAAACCCATGAAAATAGTGTCAACATCATTAGCCATCAGAGAAATTAATATCAAAACTACAATGATAAACCACTTCAGAGCCACTAAAATATCTTTATTCAAAAAGAAGGATAACAACAACTTGGCCAGGATTTGAAGAAACTGGAGCTCTCATACACTGCTGGTGGGAATACAGAATGTAGCAAACACTGTGGGAAACCATCAGACAGTTCCTCAAAAGATTCAAGTTACTATATGACCCAAGAATCATACTCCTAGGTGGAATAACCAAGAGAACCAAAAACACATCTCAATACTAATGTTACAGCAGCAATTTTCATAATAGCCTCAAACTGAAAACAACCCAAACGTCAGTGAACTGGTAAAGAGATAAACAAAATGTGATATAATCATAAAATGGAATATATTTAGCTATAAAATGGAAAATACTGGTAACATAACATGAATGAAACTTTAAAACATCATGCTAGATACAAAAGATCCAGTCAAGATCTTCTTCCTCTCCCTATGCCCCTCCTCCCTGCTTGTGCTCACTCACTCACTCTCTCTGTCTCTATTAAATAAATAAAATCTTTTTTTTAAAAAAAGAACATATTCTATTTAGTATACATGGCAACTGGCCATAAAACATTAAGATAAATTTTTTTTTTTAAAGATTTTATTTATTTGTCAGAGAGAGAGAGTACACAAGCAGGCAGAGAGGCAGGCAGAGAGAGAGGAGGAAGCAGGCTCCCTGCCGAGCAAGGAGCCCGATGCGGGACTCGATCCCAGGACCCCAGGATCATGACCTGAGCCGAAGGCAGCGGCTTAACCAACTGAGCTACCCAGGCGTCCCAAGATAAATTTTTAAAAACAAATTATACAGCTTATATTCTCAAATATAATAAATTAGAATCAGTAATAGAATGGAAAATCCTCAAATATTTGAAAATGAAACCACATGCTTCCATGGGTCAAGGAAGAAGTCACACAGGGAATAAGGAAATATCATACCCTAAGTGGTAATAAAATCACAATATATCACAATCTGTGAGATACACCTAAAGCAGGGCTCAGAGGGAAACTGATAGTTTTAAATACAGAAAACAAGAAATGTTTACGATTAATGACCTAAGCCTCCATCTCAGAAGTTAAAAGAAAAGTAAATGAAACCCACAATAAGTAGAAAAAAGGCAACAACCACAATAAAGGAAAAACCAAGGAAACAGAAAACTGAAAAAATTAAAAGGTAATTATTGGAAATGATCAATAAAACTGACAAAACTCTAGTTAGATTAATCAAAGAAAATGAAGAGAGAAAATACAAATCACCAATTTCAGGGGGAAAACGACTTTACTAGAGATCCTACAGACATTAAAAGAATAAGTATTTATTTTATAAGTAACTCTATACCAATGAACTTGACTACTTAGATGAAATGAACAAATTACAAGACTGACACAAGGAACAGAAAATCTGAATAGCTATATCTACTGAAAAACTTGAATTTATAATCGAATACTTTCAATAAAGAACATTACGGGCCCAGATGGCATCACTGTTGAAGTATATTAAAACATTCAAAGGGTGCCTGGGTGGCTCAGTGGGTTAAGCATCTGCTTTTGGCTCAGGTCATGATCCCAGAGTCTGGAGATGGAGCCCTGTGTGTCAGGCTCCCTGGTTGGTAAGGAGTCTGCCTCTCCCAACCAACTCCACGCTCCGTCTTGCTGTCCCTCGCTCTCTCAAATAAATAAAAAATCTTAAAAAACAACAACAACAACAACAACAACAAACACATTCAAGGAAGAACTGAAACTAAATTCCACACACCAGTTCAGTAAACATATATGAAGAGAACATTTCCCTGCTCCTTTTAAAGAGCCAGAGCTACCCTGATACCAAAACCAAAGACAAGAAAATTACATGTAACATCTCCTAATCCTGATGCCGCCACCACCACCACCCCACACGCCCCCCCCCACACAAGTCCTAAGATTTGAACAGATATTAAAAAAGAGGAATGGTCAATAAGGTCATAAGAAGAGGTTCAACGTCATTAGTCATCAAGGAATCACAAACTGAAAGCAGTATGAGATACCCTTATGTGCCCAGGAAAATGGCCAAAACTAAAAAAACTGGTAATACCAAATGTACACAAGGATGGGAGCAGAGCGAGCTAGGAGTATGACAGAGTAGCTCAGGAAAATAGTTTTTAGTGTAGTACAAACTCAATGCATGACTGAGCAATTCTACTTTTTACCATATAACCCAATATTTATCCTTGAAAAAATAAAACTTAAGTTTACATAAAGGCTTTTTAGTGAATATTTACAGATACTCTCTTCTTAGCCCAAATCTGGAAAAAACCCCAAAAGTTCATCAATAGGTATCTGGGTACACAAATGTTGATATTTTCATACAATACAAATAAAGAGGAACTCAGGAATAAAAAAGAACAAATTACCAATAGAACATAGAAGAATTCCAAAAAAGTATATGCTGAGCAAAAGAAGGCAAACGTATACACAAATGGAGTACATACTGTATGGATTCCATTCACATGAAATTCTAGAAAAAGAACAACTTATCTATACTGACATAGAACAACTTAGTAACTATGAGGGGGCCAGTGGTGGAGGTGAGGTAGACTGCACAGAACCACAAGGGGACTTTTGGGCGGTGACAGAAATATTCTTTTTTTTTTTTTTATTTGACAGACAGAGATCACAAGCAGGCAGAGAGGCAGGCAGAGAGAGAGAGGAGGAAGCAGGCTTCCCACTGAGCAGACAGCCTGATGCGGGGCTCGATCCCAGGACCCTGAGATCATGACCTGAGCCGAAGGCAGAGGCTTAACCTACTGAGCCACCCAGGCGCCACAGAAATATTCTAATTCTTGATTAGGGTGGTGGTTACACAGGTATATATACCTACCAAATTCCAACTGTACGTTTTTTAGGTGAGCATAGGTTGATTTTAAAAGTATAAGAGTGTGATGGCACACATACAGGCAGAAAGTTACATGCCTACCTCACATTATTCACAAAAATAAATTGGGCTAAAGATAAACACAGAAAACAAAATTGTAATTACATTAAAGTAAAAAAATAGGAGGGTATGCTTATGATCCTAGGGAAGGGAAAAGCTTCTTTAAAAGACATTAAAAAGTAGCTTCATAGGAGAGAATCATCTACTTATTCATCAAAATTAAAATCTTCCAGACCATAATACTTAAAAGGACTCTAACTGGGAAATGTGTTTATAGCACGCAGAAGAAATTAATAGAATCCAGAATTCAAACAAAAGAACACAAAAAGAAATCCTCCTGAAACTCATTAGGTGAAAGATGTAACCCCAAGACCAAAGGAAATAGGTATACTCAGCTACAGAGAAGTAACATGGAGGACAAATGTGTAAAGATGATAAAGCTAGCTAGCAATCTAAGAAATGAAACGCCATTCTGCATTCAGAAGACTGGTGCTTCAAATAACAAATGGTGATGTGCATGTGAGGAATCAGGGGGAAAACAAGTGGGAGTACTGACTCGTACAACCAATAAAGAGGGAATTTGAGAATATATTAAATATACCATCTCAATACTCAACCATTCTACTTCCTACTTTACACAAAAAAAACTCATATGCACGAAACTAATGACGATGAAACTCACAGGCATGAAAAAGATACCCACACAAGTAATATTTATGGAAATGAAAACTTGACAACAACTTAAATACCAAAGGGAAATAATTCAACTAAAATACATTTATACTATGGATGCATATAAAAGAAATGAAATACGCCTATATGTAATCTATTATCTATATATAATAAAGAGTAACTATAGAATGGTCTCTAAGACCTGTTGCTGATTAAAAATCCAGAACAATACATCTGGGCAGAAATAAAGTCAAAGAGAGAATGCTTACATGTAATGATCACATATGTATGTTTGCAAATGCATGTAAAAAGACTTGCAAAGGTATGCATGGAGCTGAGATGGAGGAGACAACGCTGGGAAAGGCTATTATTAGGGGTCCTGGTCAAACTTCCACAAGAAGAATATATTCTTCTATTATTCATGTAAATATAAATTAATGTTTAAAAAAAAAAAGCACATCTGCTGATTGTAGCTGAACCTGAACCATTGTCTGAGGAACCTCTTTCCACACACATCAGTATGACGGCTATGTCCAATGGAAAGGGGTTCCTCAGATAAGAGTTTGAGAAACCCTTACCACCTGTAGCCTATAACACCAAAACAAACATTGACACTTTTAAATTCTCTTCCCAATTGCCTTCAAAACTTTTTCAAGAACCTCTTAATCCAAGTCGCTCTTGATTCCATTATCTTGTTTTATTTTCTTCATAGTAATGATCACTATTTGAAATTATGTATTTATTGTCTGTCTCTCACTAGAATGAGAATGGCAAGACAACTCTGAATTCATGTGATTTTAGTCAAGCCATTTATAGAGTTTTCTAACAGTATCAAAGACACATGTTATTTACTTACCTTAGTTGGAAAAGGAAATTTGGAAGGTTCTGTTTTGCATGGTGTATGAATAGCCGTTAGAGGGGGAGGCCATGAATGCGTCATCTCCTGAAATGTAATTATTACAGTTTGTTTTCAACCAGTTCAAGGATACAAATTACATAGCTAAAAACCAGATTTGTATTATAAATGCTGGTTTCATGATAGGTCCTCCAAAAGTATACATATTTAATCAATAAATATTAAGTAAGCACAACTGTGTGCAAGGCACTATGGGGCAGGAAATAGATAAATAATATACATTCCCTGGTTTCAAGGAGCGTGGAGCTAAGATGATGAAACCTGTTAATCGCCATAGAAATCAGCCTACAATGAAATACAAGGTACACACAGTAAAATGCTACTGAAGAAAAGCATGCTGTGAGAGCGGGAGGGGCAGGTAATAATAAGAAAAGGAGCTAACATTTACTGTGTACCTTTAATGGGCCAGATACTGTGTTGTTTTACAGGTCTGTTACTCATTTAGTACTCATAATGATATTAGGAGGTAGATGCCATTATTATTCTAACTCTATGTAGGATGAAACTGAAACACAGAAGCTATTTATTAAAGGCCAAACATTTGTGGACACAAATGGACACCAAATTTCATCTCAGGAAGTCTGGCTGCAGAGCTCAATGGCTGATAGAAGTTTTTAGTCAGGTGGAGGAAACCAGAAGAGAGATATCAAAAGCCCATGAGAAGGAAGACAGACAAGCAAGGCTGTAAGTATGATTTCATTCACATATTTAGTGAATTTTAATCACATGCCAACTATGTTCAAGTGGAGATTTGGATAAGATCACAATGTTTATGTTAAAGGAGCAGGGGAAAGAGAGATATCAAATTTAGAATAAAGAAGGAGTGTTTTATTTCTGGCATTTAGTTCAAAGTAAGCCATTAGGTAGACTGAGAAAATACAATAAATTAAAAGTAGTTTAGTAAAAGTAGTTTAACTTTTAGGAATTTACTCTTTAGCTATACCCACACAGCTACATAAAGATACATGTTCAAGGGGCCTACATTTAAAAAACAGAAACAACCTAAATATCCAACAGCACAAAATAATTAAATAAATTACCAAACAGCCATACAATGGGACACCAAGCAGACAGTAAAATGAGAAATTTAACTACTGATATGAAATGTTGTCCACAATATACTGTAAAGTGATAAACAGAAATCATAGTCTATGCCCTAGTCAATGTCTTTACATGAAAAAATATGCATGAAAAAAATCTCTGGCTACCTCTCGACAACAGAATGACAGAAGGGGAAAGAGAACTGGGCACCTGATACAGTCTCTACTACGGGGACTTCATAAAATAGCCACCTGCACTGTAATTGCTCTTTATCTACTTACAATACTTTTATTTTTTCACAGCATTTTGCTTTCTGAAATAATATTAAATAGTTGATTATTTCCAATATCTAGCAAGAATGTCAGCTCAAAGAGTGCAACACTATCATTATCACCACTGTATCCAAAGAGCTTGACACAGGCAGGCTGTGAACTACTCTTTTACAATAAATGGTTACCATTTTTAGATTAAAATTTTCTTCTTTAAGTTTATGATGGAGTTCCTAGAAACAGTATGACTACAAATCTCAAGAAAACATGAAGGCAATTTGGACCTGCAGTTCCTTATGCACTGCATACAGGGAAAGGAAACAAACTCAGACACTCTAGGTTTTCAGTGTTGGCATTTTACATCTCAAATACCAAAGTACTTTTAATAGACAATCTATTTAACTCCATCGTTAAATGACTGAGCACCTGTTACACCCAAGGCCATGTACCAAGCCCTGTATATATAAAATGAAGACTAAATGGTCAGTACCATCAAAGAGATAATTAAATGTGAGAATACCTAAAATTCTTCCAGGTATTACAATGCCATGTATCCTTGAGGATCCAAAGAGAAAAGATAAAGCTCCATTACACTTTTTATATACATGGGAACTGAAAAATGCATTCTATATGAGATTCAAAGGAAAGAGTTATCATTGTAATCTGATGGTCTGACATAGAGGAAAGAAAGATTTCATTGGGATTCTAAGAAAAAACAGAATCTGTATATGACTAAAGACAAAGGAGAAATATAGTTCATGAAAGTTTTTTAAAAAGATACAAGAGCAAGAAAATGTAGGGCTTAGTGAAACCAATTTGACAAAAGTGGAGAATTAATAGTGAGAGAGGTAGAAGCGGTCTGTGAAAGGTCTAGAATGTTGAACTTGGACACTATTTTTTCTATGGGGCTCAGAGAGAGAGCCACTGAAATTTCGAAAACAGAAATTAACTTATGAAGACAGTGGATTAAAGAATCTGCCAGCAATGCAAAAGACAGATGAGCAAAGCAAGGACTGTAGATTGCAATTCTTGAAGCTCAAGGTGGCAGAAATGGAAATAAAGGAATGTATTTTCAAAGAAAATTCAAACCGTACATGCAGTTTTGTGATTAAACAGAGCATGAGAGAAATTTAGGATTTTACACTGAGAAGCACAGAAGACTGGTAGTACTACTAAGAGACGAAGGTCTGATAATTCTGCTTTTAGATATGTTGAGTCTAAAGAAGCAAGGAGATACACAAATGGACACACAGCAAGGAAGAGACATAAACCACAACTCAGAGGAGGCCAAAGAGATGAGAAAGACTGAAGAGTTAACAGGTGAAGCTGTAACAATAAAGGAAAATCAAGACAGAGCAGAAAAAAACAGAGAAGCTAGAAAAAAGACCCATATTTAAAAGAGAAGACACCAACGCTCCCAAAAGGCAGAGAACGAGAGATAAGAAAGGCAGATGGAAATAAAAACAGTGAAGCATAATAATAGTCAAGGAAGGAAGAATGAGGTTTCTAGAAGGAAAAACTAAAAATTCTTGAGAACAGTAGAAAGAGCCTGAGAACTCAAATGAAGCCCTCAGTGAAGGGAGACCATGAGCTTAGCGAAACAGCTTCAGCAAAATGACAGAGACAAATGAGAGACTGTGCTGGGCTGAAGAAAGAAAGGAGAGAATGAAGTAGAAGCAGCAATACATTAGTCTTTCAGAAGTATCCACAGTGAAATGCAGATACAGACACAAAAAATCAGGAGCTTAGGCAAAAATTACAAGTAATACGTGACTGACGGTTTTTCTCTACTGAACCAAAAGCAGTCACTGTCACTCACTAATCCACTAGACCTTCCCTTTTTACAGCTGACAACTTTCTCTTTTCCCAAAAGAGGAACACACATTTTGGTCATGTGTTGATTTTAAACATATTCCATCCAACAGTCAAAATGAGCAGTATTCAGAGGAGGTCTTTCATTGTAGGAACTGACCAGTAGATATAAACGAATTACAAAGCAAGCTATTTTCAATGAAATTGTTTGACTGGTAATTACTAATAAGCCTTACAAAGTACTGTTGTATTTGCTTTCTTCCTCTTTTCAAGGCAAACTATGATGACTGGAATTTGATTTACTTAAAAATGAAAAACAAACAAAACCAGTTCTTTGAGGGCAGGTAGTAAACAAACCCAATGACTCAGAAACTAAATATGAAAATAAGCGTAACAGAGTCAATTACTTTTTATAGACATAATGACATTTCACATGTAAGCAATCTGCTGCCCTAGATCCTTTGAGAAATATCAGGGGGGAAGAGGACAAGAAGATACCAGAGCATCATAAACAAAAAAGACAGAAAGTATTAAAACAATAACAATGACTTACTTTAAGAATTTCATCCACACAGCTCACATCACCGGAAGCAGATGCCTTAAGAGGAAAATAAACACACATTAGATTTGGGGTCATTTATTATTAGATTTTTATCATTTGTTGCACAGATTCAATGAAACTATTAGAAAATGAATTAAATTTAAAGACATAATTATGATCTCACTATTCTAAACCACAATATTCATTAATCTTTTGACAAATTTCCTTAAATGCCAATTTTTCAAGCTCTAAAAAATTTTAGTCACCAATTATAAAGGATTTAAAGAACTTTGTATTTATCAAAGGTTTTGAAAAATCTTATCTCTCTTATATTTAGATTAGAAATAAATTTTTAAACGTTATTTTGCAGGTGGAGCAACTTGTCAAAAATTTGAGTTTACTGATAGAAAAATATACCATGATACTGAAATACATTGTTTCACATAAACTAACAAAGAGAATAAAACCAACATTATTGAAAGAATACTTGTCTGGAATATGGTAGACATTTTACACAGCTTTCCTTGAATCACAGAAAAGTTGTTTATGCTAAAGCACAATCAGGAATTGAAGAGCTAGAGTTTGAACTCAAGTCTATCTCCAAGGATCAAGTTGTTTGAAGAAAGAACAATCATTTCACTGTTCTCCTCAGAGGAGTAATTAGATGACAACTGCCACGAACAATGAGTTTCCCAAGGCCAAAGGAAAAATGTTTAAATGTTCTTAAAATAGCATTTCACCTATTCTTGATCCCTTCCACCACCATTTTAAGCTATGAACTATGACTTTCAGTTACAAACACCATTTAAATTTTTTTTTATTTTAGAAGATAAAACTTAAACTATTTCACAGCAACTATTCAATTTCTTTAGTTACTCTGATGCTTTGATATGCAGTTATTAATACTTTAAGTGTCAAACCACCACTATGAATCTAGAGCAGCTGTCTCAAACCTTTAAGTGTAAACAGAGAAAAAGCTCATGGCATCCAAACCATATAACATTTACCATCTTGATGGACCCCCCCCAAAATCCCAATATTTACTCTAATTAACCACAGCCCACATCACATTCATGGTATCACAATGAGAATACAAGTTAATTTTTTAAACAAAAGAACACAAGACATATTCCTTCATAAAATCAAAAGGAGTAAATCTAACGTATTGATTTCACAGATCATGCTTTTATTCTATAACTGACCTGTCATCTGAATAGTTCAAAACAGTGAATGACATGTTCTCTATTGCCCAACAGGGGAAGTGAACAGGTCTACTGATCCACCTCAGAGTCAATGACAAGTCTTTTTTTAAAACTTATATATACCTTATTATTAAACAGACAAAATTCAAGTTCAATTATAATTTCACAGTAAACTGCTTCACAGAGTCATAACATTAAAAGCTCTAAGGGGCTCCTGGGTGGCTCAAGTCTGTTTATTAGCCAATTCCTGATTTTGGCTCAGGTCCAGATCCTGGGGTGGCAGGAGATTCTCTCTCCCCTTCCCCCTGCCCCTCCTCCTGCTATCTAAAATAAATGGATAAATTTTTTTTTAAAGGCTCTAAATGTGTAACTTACATCCAATGGTTGGGAAGGTATTTTCAGCTTGGTGAGATGTGCTTTGCTACTGGGCTTCAGTTCAGTCATGCTGTTGCCATGGGATTGGCTACTGTAGTGCTCAGAGGACAGCTTTGGTTCCATGGACTCTTGCCCATCCATGGGCCGCACATAGGCAGTGGGTTTCTGTAACATTGAACTGGACTTTGACATCAATGAAGGTGGGAAAGACTGATTTGAATGTTGCCCACTTGAAAAAGGTACACGGGAAGGAGAATCCCAGTTTGCATCAGGGTCCCGAGGTGATTTGGAACGCTGATGTTCCTTGCTATGGTGATCATTCCCATGAGACCTGGAATGACTGGAGCTTAATGAAGAAACAGCCTGTGGTTTCCCAGGGCTGGAAGAGCGTGATTTGGAGTGTTCCGATCCATGCTGGCTTTTTTTCCGACCACTGCTTCCACTACTGCTATATGAGTCACGGTCATGCCTCTGGCCACTACTACTGGTGCCACCACTGCCACCTGCACTGGTCCGCTGGCTACTGTGTCCACTCTGCAACCCTGAGGACCGTTTCTGAGACTGAGAAGTACTGGGTGCAGGTCCTACTGGAGTCCATTTGCTACTCTGATGAGAGGTCCCATGTCTCTGTTCAAAGAAATTTGGGTTAGATTTTTCATCTGCTGTTGGTGGTACTGTAGGCTTGGGAATTGCAACAAGCTTTGGTATAGATCTGTCTCCTATGAAATCCTTCATTTCATCGTAGTTTCCAAGCATACTCTGAATACGACTTGATAGCTTATCTTCTTTGCTAGTCTATAAAAAATTGTAAAATAAAATGATACAATTAGCAGAACTGGAAATAAAAGATTAAAAAAAAAAGAAATGAAAGATGCTTCTAAATGGACTTTCCAAACTTCAAATGCAAAGGGGCTTTTCAAAGGGAGGCCTCATCTTATATATTAAGGTTAATCTCAAAAGCAAACTCCAAATATAATTTTTTTTAAAGATTTTATTTATTTATTTGACAGAGAGAGATCACAAGTAGACAGAGAAGCAGGCAGAGAGAGAGAGGGAAGCAGACTCCCTGCTGAGCAGGGAGCCCGATGCGGGACTCGATCCCAGGACCCTGAGATCATGACCCGAGCCGAAGGCAGCGGCTCAACCCACTGAGCCACCCAGGCGCCCCCAAATATAATTTTTATAGTGAAAAAAATGCACTGAAAGTGAAAAAATTCATGCAAAAACACAAATATCCTATGGGACACTGAGAAGTATGTACAAAAGATTCCAGGAGGGGGAGAAAAAAACAAATTTCACCAATAAATATATTGAAACAGTAGTAAAAAAGTCTTTTAAAAAGTGGGAAAAGTAATGTGCCTTTATGTAGTTAAGTTGTAGGTGAGCAGATTAGCCAACACTCATTATTCTGGCAACGCAGGAAAACATATTCTTGGAGTTCAATGTTATAGTTAAAAGGAGAAACAAAAATTTAATGAAACATGTTATACCCAAATGACTTTTTAAAAAATTTTAATTCCTTTTGTTACTGTGACTAATTAAAATTCAACAACAAATTAAGAATGGAAAATCCCACTGATAAGTGTCAAATATTCATTCTATTAACTCTGACCAAGAAACACTCCAAGTTTTGAAGTTAATGGTACAGACTGTAAGTTTAAAAAATCATTCTTGGATAATAAGAAAGTCCAAGACAACTACAAGCTTTAGGACTCTTTCATGCTCACAAACATGGAAGAGAGTAAGCTTACTAATTGTATTAAAGAAAAAAATCAAGACAGAGCCACTACATATTTCGAGGTTGGCATGAACAGATGACGACTTTAGATTATCTGAAAATCAGTCTGACCCCTATTAAACAAGAGTGGGAAATATATAGTAATTCGTAGACGATATCAAGATCAGGAATCAAATCTAATTCATTACAATGTAATTACAAAATAAATGGTAGTATGACTTAAACATTCTGGATCAAACTCCTGGGGGTTTTTTTGGAATGCCTTTAATCTCTAATCCCAAACCCCAGGTTTGTGTGATTGGTGTTACATGCATATAAATGATGTCAGTGTAACTAACTGCCTTTAAATGAAAATCCTTAAAAACTTTTTAAAATAGTTTTAATAGGGGTGCCTGGGTGGCTCAGTCGGTTAAGTATCTGCCTTTGGCTCAGGTCCTAATCCCAGGGTTCTGGGATCAAGTCCCACGCTGGGCTCCCAGCTCAGTGGGGAGTCTGCTTCTCCCACTCCCTCTGCCCCTCCCCTTCATTTGTGTTGTCTCTCTTTCTCTCTCAAATAAGTAAATAAATAAATAAAATTTTTTAAAAAATGGCTTTTACAGATCTCATAAATAGCTTCTACAAACACCAAATGTTATTAAGGGTAAACTTAGAATATGCTGTTATATTTATATTATCAGAAAAAGTCTAACGCACTCTCAGTCTCACACCGTAAACCAACAATGGCCATTACTGCTGCAATTCCATTATACACAGTACAAGCCTTTAAAATGTAAGGGAATATCAAACGATCCAAAGCCAAATCAAACATCAGAGACACTTGTGGCCACTACAGCCATGTTAGTTGTCAAAAGTGTTATCATTCAGTGTTTTATGTAATCCCAAATCAAGTACAATGACAGTTACAAAAATAGCAATTGGTTCACTTTAATGAAAATCTTTGACAACTAATTTTTACTCTAAATTGGATATTGTTCATTAAGCCCCCATAAAAAGAAAGTCAGATAATTTAGTATAAAACAGAAAAAGGAACCAGACTCGTACTGAAGATACATTTTATTCAAAGTTAGTAGTAGTCACTGATAATACTTAGTAAACTAAGAAAGCAAATGGCAAGAAATAAGGGAGAAACAAAAGAATCTCTGAAATATTTGTCTTTGATTGACTTTATACCCAAAAGAACCCAGGAAACAGTACACAATGCATACCCATTTATAAAATTTTAATTTAATTCAGAAAGGTGAAATGTCTACCCAGGGTTAGTGGTAGAGCCTGGGATGTAGAGATCGATGTCTGAACTAATTCAGACTACATTTTCAAGAATATAAAATAGCAACAGAGGGAGGGGAGGAAGTTTGGGTTTGAGGATGACTTTAGGATGCTTTATAATACTGTTTCTTGATTTGGGAACTGATTACATAAGGTTGTTCATGCTGTGAAAATTCTTTCAGCTGAAACACACGTTTTGTATACTTTCCTATATGTATGTTATACTCTAATGATAAGTTTACCCCAAAACGTACATTCTTATTTACAGCAAAGGAAAAATGTTAAATCGCATATATGAGAGTAACTCCTTTTCTACTATAAAAATTCAAGTTTAAACACTTGAAAAGCAAAAATGTCACACTGTTGAGGGAAAAACCATTCACAGGACTACTTACAACTTTGTACGGCTCTGCAAAGAGAGGAGAGCTAGGTGGGAAGGCGTCTTCGCCCTGCTGAATTTCCTGATTCCGCCTTTCCCGTTCTTTCATACGCAGCACATTTCGGTCTTCACGGTTCATGTTGCTAAGAAGAGAAACAATATTTGTATCACAAAAAGGAGAGTTAAAATTAAACGTTCTGTACTCATTTTGTGAGTTTAATGTTTCATTCGGAGATTCCCTTCCGACTTCGACAGTAACAGACATTAGTGCTGAAGCTGGGTACCGGTAATGGTTTTACCAACTAATACCAGTAGTGTCTTGCACAACTATTGAGATACTAAACACTAGCCCACAGTAGTAGGAAGGATCCACCCCATTGAAACATTTAACCTTACCAGTTTTTAAAGTATTCAGCTGGCTAAAAGTGAGTTAAAACTTATACATTCAGATAGATGGAAGGTAGTACTTAAACCCAAATCCTTAAGATTTCCTATAAGCCTTTCATGGCTTCCTCTTCAGAAATCTAACTATTCTTCGCCATTAGAGGGGTACAAACCCACTCCCACCTACCACTCCCTCCCCGCACCCCCCCAGGGTCCAATGCTTTTTCTCTACTTTGCATCTACCTTATCTTGATTTCTTTTTGTCCCAAACACAGCTTCCTTGGTGTCCATCCTTATGGCAGTTTGACCTCAGCTTTGCTGTTGCTCTAGATACCCTAAAAAACGACATTTCTGCTCTAAATACATTAATATTTCAATTAATACCTCAATAAATGGCAAAACTGAGGCTTTCAGTAATAGAATCTAGAATAAACTTGGGTTAGTAATAGTAGTGGAAATTGTACTGAAAAAGAAAGTCTTTTGGAATGGAGGGGAAAATAAGGGTGTCATTTCTATAAACATTACAGCATGTCATATTTTCACTAAGAACAAACCAAAGAAGATAGTTTCTTTATAGCATCAGGGACTTATGGTTAAACGGATAATAATGAAAAAGGTTGTTGAACCCTGGGATAAGGGATTGCCAGGGACTCCAGCAACATTCTTCCCTGGAGAGAGTAAACCATTTACCTTGGTTTTGTTTGGGGAGGCGGGTGTGGGGAATAGGGATGCGGAGAGTTCTGTTGGATACGAAGGGAAAAAACGAGGTTATACTTGCTGAGCATTTCTAGCCTTATGATTCATAAATCTATTCAGAAAGTTAAAATAAATCAAGATTGGAAAGAAATTGTAATTGTAAAGTCAGAATGGATAGCAGGGGCTCTTGGGTGGCTCAGTCAGGTAAGGGACTGTCTTGGGCTCAGGTCCTGAACTCAGAATCCTGGGACTGAGGCCCGTGTAAGGGCTCCCTGGTCAGTGGGGAGTCTGTTTCTTCCTCTCCTTCTGACCCTCTTCGCTAACCCCTACCCCATTCATGTACCCTCTCCTTCTCAAATAAATAAAATCTTAAAAAAAAAAAAAAAAGAATGGACACCAAAACCAATATATTCTTGAGAATTTTTATGTGGTTAGAACAGTGCAAGTGAACATTCAAAAATAAAAATTTACTATCAAAGCAATTTAGTATTTAAAAAATATTCTAGGGGTCCCTGGGTGGCTCAGTGGGTTAAAGCCTCAGCCTTTGGCTCAGGTCATGATCTCAGGGTTCTGGGATGGAGCCCTGCATTGGGTTCTCTGCTCAGCAGGGTGCCTGCTTCCCTTCCTCTCTCTCTGCCTGCCTCTCTGCCTACTTGTTATCTCTGTCAAATAAATAAATAAAATCTTAAGTGTTCCAAATGAATATTCAGATTTTTCTATTTGTATAATATTCTAATAAACTTAGACAAGAATATAAGCTATTTTGAGGTACTGAAATAGTATGTGCTTTCTTTGGTCTCCCTGGTACTTAGCACCATACAGAAGCACAGAAAGTGGGGCGCCTGGGTGGCTCAGTTAGTTAAGCAACCGCCTTTGGCTCAGGTCATGATCCTGGAGTCCTGGGATCGAGTCCCGCATCAGACTCTCTGCTCAGCAGAGTCTGCTTCTCCCTCTGACCCTCCCCCTTCTCGTGCTCTCTCTCTCTCTTAAATAAATAAATAAATAAATAAATAATTTATTTATTTTTTTTTTTTTTAAAGAAGCATAAAAAGTATTTGATTCTTTCAAGGTGCCTGGGTGGCTCAGTCAGTTGGATATCCAAGCTCAGGTTCGTGAAACGTGCCCTACTTATGCTTGGGATTCTCTGCCCCTCTCTCCCCTCCCCATGCCCACTTGCACACTCATGCTCTCTCCCTCACTAAAATAAATAAATAAATCTTTTTTAAAAGTATGATTGATTCCTTCTTTAATAAATACTAAAAAAAATCTACACTTTGGTATTCAGAGTAAAACCAAAGAAGCTATATAACCCTCCAGTACACTTGAACCAACTAATAAATGTATATCACTAACAATCAGGTTTCAGATAGACCTCTACAATCTGGTGCTGCTACATATGACGTTATTTGTATCCTAAGAGTCTAAGGAGTATATAAAATACTAATTTCCTTATATTTCCTACATTCAATTCCTTAAAAAATGAAACACCTTCCTTAAACTATGATTTAATTAGAGCACTAAAATAATCATGCAAGAAACACTTGTACATTTTTTGTAGAAATAGATACGATTCCCACAATAAAATTCCTCCTACAATCCAATAAAAAAGTGTTTTCTTTTCTTAAACAATGAAAGTCATCTGAGTATTTCCTTTTAACAAGACTGCCAAGAAGAAAAACAAAAATTAAATGAGTGCTGGGGCGCCTGGGTGGCTCAGTTAAGCGCCAGCCTTCAGCTCAGATCATGAATCCAAGGTCCTGGGTTCAAGCCCTGCGTATGGCTCCCTGCTCAGGGGGAAGCCTGCTTCTCCCTCTCCCATGCCCCCTGCTTATTTCTTCTCTCACCATTTCTCTCTCTCTCTCTGTCAAATAAATAAATTAAATCTTAAAAATAAAATTAAATGACTATTTATAAGAACTAATTCCCAGGTGGGTAGCTCTCGTTCTCTAATTTTTTTTCTGATCTACCTTATTTTCACATCTAATTTATCAGATTCATATTTTTCTCCCGTGTCTTTAAACATCAGTATCTCTACCTAAGATAAAGTTTCCCGGGGCGCCTGGGTGGCTCTGTGGGTTGAAGCCTCTGTCTTCGGCTCAGGTCATGGTCTCAGGGTCCTGGGATGGAGCCCCGAGTCGGGCTCTCTGCTCAGCAGGGAGCCTGCTTCCTCCTCTCTCTGACTGCCTCTCTGCCTACTTGTAATCTCTGTCTGTCAAATAAATAAATAAAAATAAAATCTTAAAAAAAAAAAAGATAGTTTCCCCCAAGTTAATAATTCCATTAATCAATTTGAGCTCCCCTAAAATTAACATAAAATTTAAATAAGCCAGTTTGAAGTATATCTTTGTTGTATAGACAAACCTATTTCATAGCATTTCCCTCAGGACATTTGCAATACTGAAAAAGAATTTGGTTAAAATTAGCTAATTGCTACATTAAAACAAAATCCGTGGGACTGACCAAAAAAATAATTTTTAAAAGAGTATTAACAAGTAGAAAGGAGAGTTCTCCACCTAAAAATTTTTAATTACCTACAGTAAACTGTTTCAAGTACCCATCAAGTACTTACGTTAAGCTGATACATTAAGAACATTCTATGGTGTAGCATAATGGTATAGCAATTTCATTGCTACAAAAGAAGCAAATGAGTAAATATACTGAGATTCTGGGGGATCCAGGTATGTTACTATGAGAGAGGAGAGGTACAAATATACAAAGAAATAGGGAGAAAAAGAACCTTTGGGGATTAGGACCTAGAAGTAGTATATGAACACATGCTTATATTTTTAAAAAATCTCTACCTATCAATCTGTCTACTGATCAAGACAGACAGACAGAGACACACTCTCCATTTCTATACAATGAAAGAGTCTAGGAGCAGCAACATACTAGAAGAAGGAAGCAGCCACAGCACCCAAATTCTGATTCCTAATATCATTTCTTACTAAAGTGGAATAGGACTTCTTGAAGAAATAGTTCAATCCAAGACTGCAGCAGAGGAAGTACAAAGAGATCTTAAAACATCTTAACAGCAAGAAAATGCACAACAGATGACAGCATCAAAAGGGCATGCCAACCAGCCTGAAGGTGCTCTCACCAGTCAGATTTGGAAACATGAGCATCAAAATAAAGACAAGAATGGAATATAACCAAATGAGTAAAAAAAGTCCCTGAGGGGCCCCTGGCTACCTCAGTCAGTAGAGCGTGCTACTCTTGATCTTAGGGTCACGAGTTCAAGCACCATGTTGAGTGTGGAGCCTTGTTAAAAAAAAAACAAACCAGGGGCACCTGGGTGGTTCAGTAGGTTAAGCCGCCGCCTCTGGCTCAGGTTAAGATATTAGCATCCTGGGATTGAGCCCCGCATGGGGGGGCTCCTGCTCAGCGGGGAGTCTGCTTCTCCCTCACCTTGCTCTTGTGCTCTGGTGTGCACACGCATGCTCGCTCTCTCGTGCACGCTCTCTTTCTTCCTCTCAAATAAATAAATACAATCTTAAAAAACAGATAAAAATGCTCCAAAAAACACAAATCCCTGAATTCAGAGTGATAACAGCAAAAAATAAAAGAGAAAAAAAAGCAGGGAGTAAATGTCCTTCTTTAGAGAAGAATGTCAACTAATAAATGCAGAAGAAATAAAAGAATTAGAAAATCACTTTTTTTGTGACTATTAAAGTAATAATTGAGACAAGAATCATCTATAGAAAAAAATCATCAATAAATGCTAAAACTACTGGGCAAAAAGTTGGGGGAAATGGAATCTTCAGTATCAGGCCACAGACTATTAGAAAAAAACCTTTAAAATAGAGAAGAGCAGTAAACAATACCCTTAATCAAGCAATCAAACTTAACATTACCAATAAGGGATAAAATGACATGATGTCTTCTGATGAGATGCACTAAAGATATATCACCATCTAGGTATTCTTTCTGCTAAAAATTTAAATGACTCTAATCAGGAATAAGTGGACAACCTTAAGTCTGCAAAAATTGGCCTGGACTCTTCAAAAATGCTAGTATCATGAAAACAAACCAAAAAAGAGGCTAGGGAGAGACAACAACTAAAGGCAATGCATGATGTACATACTGGATCTGGGGAGAAAAAACTGGTTGTGAAGGGTATGATAGGGAAACTTGGGGACATCTGAATATGAATGGTATTTCAGATAATCTTATCAAACGTTTAGTTTTTGAACTATGATAATTCTATTTGGTTATACAGGAGAATGTTCTGGGTTCTCAGGATGTACAAAACATACATGGATGAAATGTCATCATCAGATCTGCAACTCTCAAATGGTTCAGCACCCATCTGAATACAGATCTAGTATGTGTAGATAGTAAGTGAATGATAGAAAGAGAGGGAGAGTATATGTGTATGTGCTTGCATGCAGAGAGGGTGGGGGGATTAGGAAGGAGGGAGAAGACAGACAAGAGAACAGTGGAGCAGCTGCAACAATTATGGCAAAAATACTGATAAATGGTATATACACGTGAAGGGAATATGAACATACACGATATTACAGGTTTGAAATTTTTTTAAATAAAAGAAGGAAAAGAGTTATAAAGGTTATATAGTAGAGCACTACGGGTACTTTCTAGCATTTTTCAGGCTTGGGATTTATTATCAAACTGTCTCTTCTCA